CCAAAGTTATCTTTAACGGTGAGGAGTGTGCTCTCCCAGCAATACGTCCAAGCAGTGGTCATAAGACAACTGCAGCTCCTTTCGCCTTTGTTATAGTTTTGGCTCTATTGTTCATTCATTGATTGCCTATAATGCAGGTATTACCACTTCTATTTTTCTTCAAAATTTATCAAGCAGCTGCTAATTTCTTGATTGTTGGATTGATTTATTGGCTCAGTTTAGTCTGCAGCGCCAAATTACACGTTTGGCAGCTTGGATCGGGTTGTATTTAAAATTTAAACCATTATTAGTTTATTACAGATTGGATATTGGCTTCTGTGATAGACCACCATGGTGCTGTGACCACAAATTATGATGAGAAGAGACATTGTTACTTTTTCTTAATGGCAATCTAGCGTGTAATTAGCATCTGAAGAAAGCAACTTTTCTGTCATTCCATTTTTTATATGTGCTTTCGGTGCTTTAGAGCCTCAGTTTTGCCCCTTTCTTTTCTTTTCTTGGTTAATTGGACGGTCTACGAACTAAACCTTGTGGGAGACGGGCAATGGAGTCGCCTTGTCCTGTTCCTTAATCTATATCCATCAAGTACTCGGTTTATCAGTCGGGCTGTATTTTACACACAATTTACCCCGTGTCTAGAGAGGATGAGAGAGAGGAAAATAGAGAATAATTATCCACTGCAATTTACACCTGAGCTTCTCTTGTTTGGTTGGAAGGAATTTGAGAGGAAAGAAACAAGGGGGAAATGGCAAAATGTCCAACAGTCTATTTCTTCCTTCTCAATCTTTCATGTTCAGAGAAGTTAAAGAACGAGTTGAACACCTAATTCATCCCATCTTGTTCATCCATTCTACCTCCTTGTTGCTTAATAATAATTTCCACCAGAAACAAACACGCTATGAGATTTAAAAGTGCACAGTTTAACAATGAAGAAACTATAAGCTTTGTCTAAACGCAACTTATAATCTATCGAATAGCATTTATGCAAGCCCACAGGCAACATTGAGTTTGTTCTGGTTGGTAATTCAGCTCACATCAAAGATTATCAATTCGTACACTAGCCCTTCAGTCCAAATATGCACAATGTTGATCAGAATGAGAAATCAGAAATAAACAGCTTGATGGGAGGGATCCAGGCTAGTTAAAAGATCAATGAATGCCTGCCCAAAATAGAAACATTAAACCAACCAAGTTTCGAATATGAATAAGATGGTATCTAATCTTGGTTTTCCTTGAAGGAGGAAGCATCGCATGAGAAATATTACAGATCAAAGAGGAATAGGATCTCTCCTCACTGAAGAATCATTATCAGATTTCCAGGCAGTGGGGTTATAACCTATCAAGTGGTTCGGTGCGCTGTTGGGGACAAAAGAACCTTAATTAGTTCCTACCCTACTCTTGTTTAAGCAATGGTGAATATTGAACTCTATGACCTTCAAAAAGCTTGGAAAATGAGTGAATTCCCAGAAAACTAACCTCCAAGAATGGTTCCTGCAAGATCTCACTTTGATCTAATTGTTGGCCCAAAAATAAAGAATCACAGTTCAACTGAGGCATAGTGTCAGCCTAGATCTCACAAAAATTATAAACTAGAAGGCTTTGAGAATGAAGAGCAAAATTTCCTTGGGCCCTATAATCTTCAATAAGCGATGGATGGCCGATAGAACATTTTGGCTGGATGCTTCTAATAGAGATGTACAGTTGAGACGAAAATCAAGTGAAGAGCATCTTGTTAATGAGTAATGACTTCATTCTGGTGCTCTGGAGTTAAGAAGGTTCTTATGATGATCATATGAAAGCATGGAGCTGCTAGAGTTTAGCATCAGATGTCTACTGGATTGTGGAGTTACAGCCACAAAGGATCAGAGGTCCATTGGTGAGATGCTGCGCTGGAAACTGGCATGAAGAATGGTGTTGGGGGTTATAGTCACCTGAAGAAGGGCTAGAAAATTGAAGTTCCAGGAACACTTTGAATCTGCATAATGATATTCGCGCGGGCGCTGTGGAGTGTCAGCTTGTTTTCTAAGATACAACCTGTACTTTGTTTTTTTATGTAGTTGTTGCTTTAGTCATTATCCTTTGCCAGAAAAAAAAAAAAAAAAAAAACAAGCACACCACACATACACATACAAACTTCCATGATATTGTAGATAGTGATGAGTGTAGACCTTTTTAAAAAGGAAAAAAAAAGAAGAAGACCAAGACAATGGAGGTGGAATTAGTAAAGAAATTCTTACTTCCAGGGCCGAGATGATCCTATGCTCTAACAAACGTTTCATGGAGTTCATAGTCCAAATCATTCATTTCTTTCCCGTAGACAAACCATTGCCTTCATCTTCACCATCTATTTTCCTTTTCAAGGTCATAGGATGTCCTGCATTTCCAGAGATTGTACAGCTAACAATACAAGAATTCTCCAAATGCAATTTATCTTCTTCCGTTCTGAAGTGTTGCTAATTTTCTTGCCAACTACGTGCTGCCACAAGACTTTAAGAGCTTCCATCTTAACAGGCTTGATCAAACAATCACAAGCACCCTGAAGAACACCCTTCAAAACAAGTTCTTGTTCTGATGATATGATTAGGTCACATAACAATATATAATAAATGTTAGTTTAATATAAAAACGTATATATATGGGCAAATCCATTTCTGATCGGATGATCTTGAGGAGCTGGATTCCATCCATTTCAGGTATGTGCAGATCATTTCCAAGCACGTCAAACCTGTTCTTATCCTCTCGAAGCATTGACAAAGCCTCCTTTCCCCTTCCACATTTGGTGACTGAACATGTTAAAAAGTAGAAATATATATGTCACAAAAGGATGTGGGAACCAACCCCAAATTCGTTCATGAATTTGCAATCAGGATGTGCGAAAACAGCACTTGAATTGATTGGTTAAAACTTGTGGAATAAGCTCTATTTAAAATGAACATGGCCATTAAATAATTTGAGAACGAATTTGATATATATCTATGCCTCATCGCCTGTGAAGGGGTGAAAATGAATGATGTTTAAAGAGAGATGAATCTGGTGCATTTGATCAAGCCAATCACAATGTCTTGATTTACTGCATGAACCTACCAATTTAAATTATTTTGGTTTAGCAAGGATTTTGGAAAGTGGAGCCCGCTCTAAACAAGATCCGAAGATCGTTCAAATCCAGTTTCAATTTGGATATGAAAGTGAAGAAGTGATCTCTGCGCGGTGTTTGTTTGTGTGGCTGTACTGTGCTTTTTAATTTTTTTTTAGTTTTAAATTATTATTTTAATATTTTTAAATTGTTTTGAATATCAAAATAAAAAATAATAATATTATTTTAATTTACTTTAAAAAATACTTTAATTTCTACCATAATTTTAAATACGTTTAGTCCAGTTTTTTTTTCTCATTCGAGTTAGGTTCTTAAGATAATAGGACGGGAAATCAAATTTTCTGAATAATGTTTATTCAACTTATTAATTAAATAATTGAAAATGGATATATATATATATATAGTATTCAAAGACTTCTGGTAATAGTAGTTGAGGAGAGTTGTTAACAAGCAGTAGTTACTTGTTCTTTTTGTTTGGGTTAATTGCAAAAGATATCCTCTAATTTACTTAATTTTTTCACCTGTCTCCATCATTCTAGAAATTACACTTTATGTTTTAAAAATTTATAACAATTTATATCCTTATGCCATGCTAGCATACTAAAAAATAAATAAAAAAATATTCTTATATTAATTATTATGAAATATCCATAAAATTAAAAAAAAAAAAAAACATGGATGCCATCCTCACCCTTTTCTCCTTCATTCAACCTAGAAACTTACAATCAACGCCTACAATAATATACTAAAACCCAATTGGTATTGTACCACCATCAACAAATTCATCAGTGGTTCTCCTCGGAGAACAAGTGCAAGTAACGTATTTCTTTCCACTCGTGCTTTGAATTCGGGCTCTCAAGAAAAGAAAATCTGGAACTCTATGTCCTTGCAAATGCTATCATAAACTAAACAAGAGGGACCTAATAATAGCAAATAAACGCAACCCAGAAAAGGATTCCAAGGTTTGGATCAAGAGCTGGTCGTGTGGCGCTGAGCCTAAGCTTTGTTGCTATTTCAATGCCGTCACCAAACACTGACCTAATTTGTGTAAAACATCATTAAAGCTCCAGAAGGTAGAGCTTTCACAGGATAAAGCATGCATCCTAGAAAGAACCAGATGATCCCATTTAATCAAGCATAAAAAACAACTATTCAACAGTGGTGGAGGGGGAAGAGAGAAGAAAGTCACTGAACACAAAGTTGATTCCTTGTATATTGAAATTCCATAACCAGATGATCCCATTTAATCAAGCATAAGAAACAACTATTCAACAATGGTGGAGGGGGAAGAGAGAAGGAAGTCACTGAACACAGAGTCGATTCCTTGTATATTGAAATTCCACAGGCGTTCTAGCTTGATGAGCGCTATCCTTCTTATTTGCCATGCTCAACAGAGAGTACAAGAAAAATCCCTCCCTTCTTATTTGCCACGCTCAACAGAGAGTACAAGACTTCTCCCATCCCACTACCCTATTATCCATGTCTTAGATGGCTGGAAGACAGAGGCAATATCATGATAGGAACAACAGATTCAGTAGCGATCACATCACAATAGGATGGAAATGGATAGTAAATTGAGTCCTGACTCTATATTCTGGGACCATTGTACCTTCTCGTTGGATGTGAAAGAGGAGGCTTGGAAGCAGAGCATCATTGAAGGTAAAAAACTATATATTCTCCCATCCGATCCAATCTAGAGGCTGGGTTCATCACATCAAAATCAGGAATTGGGAGCTTCACGCTACAAGTTTCCGCTATAATAGTCTTCCTTTATTTAGCTGCCTTGAGTGTGGAATAAAGTATATATTCTTCGTGCTAACTTTATATATATATATATATATATATATATATAAAGCCTTGAAATTGTAAATCAAAATTTATAAATATATATATTAAATTAGTGAGTAAATATATTTAATTTATCATTACAAAAACATGCTGAACAACAGTTCATACATATTTAAAATTATAAACATATAAAATCATATAAAGTCAATATATTCCTCAATAGACTCCCATGCATAATTTTTCTTTAACTTGTCACGGAATTTCTCAATAATCCGTAATCTCTCGAGTAAGAACTTCAATCATTCGATTGGCATCAACGCTCTCGCGTGCGCCTTAACTAACTCACCCATTTTGGTTCGAATTCTTGAAATTTTACAGATACTTCCTCATAGTCATCCACCCAGACCGGCGGCAGACCTATAGTAAAAGCATCGCTACTGCACTGAAATTCAAAATTTTATAGAAATCGATCAAATTGAATTTATTAGAAATAGATGAGATAGTTACCTGGAAGTGGAAGGTACCTGGAAGTGAAAGGAACTGGAAAGAGGAGTCTTTTTGGGTGGCGACGGAGGACCATTGAATTGCTTTCTCAACCAGTCAAAGCTAGCTTTGGGTGGGCTTTGTTTGTTTTTCTGGATCACGACTGGGCTGGTGTTTGGGTGGGCTTTGCTCGTGATTTAGGCTTATCTTAGCCTCTAATCCCCATCTTTTTTTAAATTCAGCTAGTCTTCCCGTCCTTGACTCCATTCAGTTTCTTCTTCGATAGTTACGGTAAAACTAGTACCTAAATTATATGCTTATTTTCAATTTGATCTTGAATGTATAAACAATTCTTGAACTTAGATGTTATCCAAAAGTCACCAATCAGAGCAGAGGATTAAAAGGCATGTGTGCTCCACATATGCTCCTTTATCTTCAATTAAAAAATTAGTTTGGCAGGTACCAAAACTTAAAATGCTGTTAAGATTTAGAAAAAATAACATTAATTTAGTAAAAAAATAAAATAAAAAACAATTTCTTTCCATTAACACTATCCAGGTTAGATCTCCATTTTTTAACTAATTCAATTAGTTATTCTTATAAATATATTATAAAATTGATTATAATTAAATCTTAAACAAACCTCAAAGTAATCCTTTAAATATAATTTTTTTTTAATTGTATCTTAACATTTCAAAAATCCTCAATTAAACTATCCTTTAATGCCCGACAAATCTATCACATGTGGGGTTAATTTACTAGTATGTCACATAGTTGAGGGATGATTTGAGATTTGTTCTGAAATCAATTTGGAGATGAAACCAGCAGATTTTTAACCAATTCAATTAGTTATTCTTAACAAACTTGATGAATGGATATGATCTGGAATTTCTAAATACGTTTTGAGATGTTGTAAAAAAAAATAGAGAATAAAATCCCAATACTTGAAGGAATGCCCCAGTGCATGCAGGGCCCCCCCTCTCAAATCAATCAAGCTCAGCAAATCAGAAGGGTCTAAACTCTCAATTTTAATTGATGAGGTATTTTACTAATTCAAAAGATAATATTTTTAGCTTGTGTTTATTTTTGTTTTTAAAAAATATTTTTGATTTTTTTTTAAATTCTACTTTAATTTTTTTATTAATTTTACATCATCTTAATATATCAATATCAAAAAAAAATCTTAAAAATAAAATAAATATTAATTTAATATATTTTTAAATAAAAAAACATTTTAAAAATCAAACATAATCACTGTAAATCCAAAAAAGCAAAGCTAATAATAATTATATATATATAAAAAAAAAAAAAACCGAACAAGACCAGACAACCTAGGTCGGTTAGCAAAGGCCCACAAGACAGAACTTAATTAACAAGTAAATTTTTCGAAACACAGCATCAAACCTTTTAGGGACTTGAAAGTCATATAATATAGGAGCGTAGAAGAAGTCCACTGTCTTGTCGGTCTAAACGACCTCAACAAGATGAATTGGTGGTTGAGGGCTGAGCGTAGTTTTTTGTGATAATAAGCGGAAGGCTGAGGGCAATTTGATAAATCGGAATTCGTGTCCATTAAGAATCTATTTATTAATCAACACCACCTCCGTCTTACCTCTGAAATTTTCACTTGCCTTCTTCTTCTTCCTCTTCTTGTTTGGCTGCTGCTCCTTGCTCCTGCTCTGCTGCAACTCTTTTTTTCCACATATAGAAAATCAAGAAATCTGCCATAAAAGAAAGACAGAAAGTTAATTGATTTTTATTCAACTGATAATTAAATTAAAATGGAAGATGATACATGGAGCTATGGTCTCTCCACTTCTTCTTCAAGAAGCTATCAATCTGCTCTCAAGTCTCTTTCTGGTATGTTTAAGATTCATTTTTTCTTCTATCAGTTTTATATCTGTTTGGTTTTTCCCTGTTGTTGTCTTCTTCTTTTTTTCTCTTTTAGGTTTTTTTTTACTTCTGTTAATTATAAAAGGTGGGTTGTTGTTGAAACAGATCTTTGTATTGATTTTGAAGATATAGAAGAAGAAGATGATGATTTACGGACGGAGTATCCGTGTCCTTATTGTACAGATGATTTTGATTTAGTTGAATTGTGCTTCCATATCGATGAAGAGCATTATTTAGAAGCCAAGTCAGGGGTATTTTACTTTACATTTTTACTCTTTAAAAATACCATGTTCCTTTTATTTATTGTGTAGCTGCCTTATATTGACTGCTCGCGCTGGGTAACCATTTAATGCTTTTCGTTGCTCTATATTGACTGCTGAGTAGAGCCTATTGAATCAAGAGGGATCGGTTTACGGTTCCATTAATTGTCCATCTTTCTCCTTTTAATAGTAGCTGCGGGTGAAAAAGTTTGGTGTATATCTATTCAATGCTTTTAGTACTTAGCTTTTAAGCGTTTGTAATCTGGGCCATGTGCTTTTTATTAAAGAGTTGTTGAACTAGTTTGATATTGAATCCTATTTTTACTTTTGTTTTCGTGGATAAAAAGGGAAAGGGTTATTGTAACGAATCATAATATCTACTTCTTCTTCTTGGAAGTCTTTTCTTCTTATACCATAAGCTCATGTACTGTAAGTGTTGACATTATTCTTCCTTGAAAATTGCATTTTTATTCAACATAGTCTCAAGCTTCTTACTAATGCATGATTTGTTATTCAAGTTTCTGCACATGAACATTCTCATTTGGATTAGGTTATTGCCTTTCACTTCATTTCTCTTGCACTGATATAATGGATCGTGTTTCTTTGAATTACAAATCTATCTTAATTCTGTTGAGTAATACCCAAAATGAGACAAAATGAGAAATATGTCTGGATGAATCTGTTGACAAACCTGAACTGATATCGATTTGTTTTGTTAAGAGAAAGGAGGGGAATAAATGAATCTGTTATGCATGTATGAGGCTCGTTTAATATGTACTAGCATCAGTAAAATGAGGATCTTTTTGCTTTGGCCTAGTCAAGCATGATATACAAGTCTTTGAAGTACAATTTGCTTATAATCGCCAATATGTGTTTGCAGGTATGCCCTGTTTGTTTCACCAAGGTGGGGGTGGATATGGTTGATCACATAACAACAGAACATCGAACCATTTACAAGATATCCTTTTTGTTTGATTATTGGAAATTATTCATCTTTTCACCTCTTTTACTTGATATCTACCTTCCATTTTGCTTACTGCATCTTGTCCGTTTACAGTCAGTTGAATTGTTTTTAGTTCTTTTATTTAGACTTAAGGCCATGTCTGCATCCTTGATTATAAATTACAGTTTGCAAAAATTGAAACTTGGGAGAGGAGAATCACACTCAAATTATTCTTTTCTGAAGAAGGAGTTAGAGGATGGGTATTTGCCATCATTACTTAGCGGATCATCCTCGGTGGTTTCTTCCTCCAACTTGGCACCTGATCCATTATTGTCATTTCTTTGCAATGTATCCCCTGCTGAGAAGTATGATAGTGTACAGCCTAGTTGTTCAAGTAAAGCAACCATAGAAGAGAAAAGTTCAGATGAGGAACTGTTGGAAAGGTTAGTTGTTTGGTTATGTTTTATGACCTCTGTCACATGTGTGCTAATGTTTGTTCCTATTATTATTTTGTCTTTGGAAGAAAAAAAATCAAAGTACTTGTTATTTGGTAAGGTGAAAAAAAATGCATGGCAGTTCACAGATGGTTGAAAGAATATACACAAGGTTAGCTTAAATAGTGAAGTCAAAGTGTGGAAAGAGAGAATTTGAAAATGGTGAAAAAAATGTGTCCCGCTCCCGGCTTGGGGCTGTGATGTTAGGATCTGCAAAGCGTTTCTTAAGTTTTTAGCTGAATTAATTTTGATGTGATATGAATAGGTTGTTTGGAACCAATTCTCTACTGTAATTGAATTCAATTATAGTGTTTGATTTAAATTCAATTGATAAAAAAGTTGAATTTATATTTTCAAAAAAGATAAAATTTAATTCATTTTGTTTTCTATATCACCCTCATTATCCTCATCTTATTTCTTCATGGGTATTTTGGAAAAGTTAGATTTAATATTAATTTTTTTTTCTTTTTGGAATTATAAATCATAGGGGTTGATCTCTAATTTACTTTTGTAGAGAGATTGAGTTCCATTTGGAATTCAATTCTTAACACTTAAAGGATTCTAAACATGATATTTCATTAAAAAATTTAAATTCAATTCAATTCAGAGAGCTTCAAACATGTCGGAAAAACATGCTGGAAAGGGTGATATAAGTGATTGGTGGGTCACAGCATTTCCAATGTTACAAGTGCAAATTACTGTTAATTTGTTAGTGAACAATGATGAGAAGAAGAGTTGGATGCATATGTCATTTTAAAAATGATAGGAGAGCCATGTGATAGAGTCGCACCATCATCATTATAGCAAGCGCATGGATTTTCTGTGAGTGTAAAGAATAAAACTGAACTCTTGTGAGGTTTTAATCAAACATTCCAAAATAGGAAGGGGGAATATTATCCAAGTGGCAATCATGATGAACAAGAAAGCCCACGCCTGATTCCAAGCTCAATGCAATCTTTAAGTTCATGTTGCTTGATTTATTGTCTTATGCTGTATGATATTTTGCACTTTTTCATACTTTCTTGTAAGATAGAATAGGATGAGGATCATGATTCAGCAAAGGTCGTCCATATCAATACTGCTGCTTTATCGTTTTCTTGCAATACCAACTCCGTTAGTATTTTTATGATTGCAGGAGTGATCACATATCACCTTTGTCGGATGAGGAACACATGGAGAAGGCAAAGAGAAGTGAGTTCGTACAGGGACTGTTATTGTCCACCATATTCGATGATGGCCTATGATGAAACATGATATAAGCGTTGTTGATGTCAACTTGAGATTATAACAAAACAAGTCTATTTTCAGTGCTGTCTATGTTGAATATACCTTGACCAAGAGAGCTAGATTAGATGCAGCACTGAATTGTATCCCACAGTTGTATGGAATCTGTAAGGCCAGATCGGAGCCAGAATTTTATGTACTTTAATTTTCAAAGCTCTTTGTGCTTAATTGAAATTTAGGGTTATTCTTCTAGCAACGTTTCAAATTCAAATATTGTGCAATTTAGCCTACATGGGTTTGAATTGCTGGGTATGATTCTTCCAATATAGTCTCCATGATACGTGCCACTTATTCACAAACCGAACCTGCAATAGCTCTTTCTCAATGGATAGCCTCGTCCATTTAAAAAGAAGCTTCTTGTATATGTTCTCCCGAACAGCCATATAGGATGAGAAGAGATGAAGCAAGCAGTAGCGCATCTCTTTAATCTTGGTTTTAATTAACAAGCAAGATACTCGATGCATCATGCTCTGTAAGCAATAAGAGGAGCTTAGTGAGGAAGAAGCTGGTAAAAGTCCAGAGACGGCCTGATGGAGCCCCCAAGCGATGACTCCATTTCAGCAAACACCCATGTAGTTAGAAAATAACTCATTCCCCTCAAACGAAGAATGGATGAAGAAAAAACTAAAACACTTCTACTTCAGAATGGAGAGGTTCAAATTACTGAGAAACTGAAGCGAGCACTTGCTTTGCTGCTTTCACCGAGTCTTCTGGCTGAGGGGTTCTTTGCTCCTCCTTTAACCTGCGGCCAAAGACCTTCCAATTTCAAACTTTATATGATGCTTTTAGGTTCATCCTGCCTCCCCAACAGAAAATGAGTCATTGCAAACTAAACACCCATAATTTATGTTTTTAGAAATGTTTGCTTCATTCAATACTGTCAGTACGTCCAACTCTGTCACAGAATCAAAAGGGTTTACTTTACTTTGAAATTTATGTCATTTAATAGTCATTTCTTTCTCAATTTAACATTCATTACTATAAATGTCTTTGCTTTCAGTTCATCCTCTAATAAATCACAGGCATCTGATACAAGGTCTTCGTCCATGTCTGGTAAAGCTTGGATAGCTTCAATTACTCGAGTTTGAATTCTCATCCTTCCTTTTATCTGATAAAGATGAAACTGCAGTTTCCATCTCACGAAGGGCAGTAGCCATACCTTCCTAATCACCACAAGACTTTTTGTGGGGAGCAGAATTTGATTACTTTTTCTAATTGACGTTTGTTCTTCAGTTTAGGCACACCAGATCCTGAAGCTGTATGAGCAGACTCCAAGATATCACCCCCTTTATCTTCACTGGAATTTGATGCAGCGGGTGCCGAGAGCTCTGTGGCATTCCCACAAGAGTTGGCAATCTTGAAATCATTTTACAGCTATGCATGTTGAGCAGAGAAGCAGTGTTTTTCATTTTTTTTTTAATATAAATATCCTGATTTTATTGTGTATATTTTAATTAATTTTAAAATTAATAATTATATAAATTTTTACAGCTAGAGAAGCAGTGTTTTTCATTTTTTTTTAATATAAATATCCTGATTTTATTGTGTATATTTTAATTAATTTTAAAATTAATAATTATATAAATTTTTAATAGCGTAAAATTATTTATGAAATTCAAACCAAAAAATTTTAAAAAATAAATTTAGTATCTAATTAAAATTAATTTAATTAATCAGTTCACATCGAACAGCCATAACTATTTTCTTAACGACCATAACTATTTTCTTTCATCACTGTCTTAATCACTGCATACTGTACAAAAATCTTTTAATAATAAGGGACAGGCCGGGTCATGAAATGCCGTGCATCTATTTGTATGTAACTGCATGTTATGATATCATAGTCTTTTCATGATATTCTCGCTTCGACGTCATATAACGACTATTCATTTTAACTGGCTATTTTACCACAATTCGTAACGGGCCACATATCGGGTTAAAAAAATTTGAATAATAAGTAAAATTATAGTTTGATTTTAATTTTAAAAAAAAATATTAAAAAATAATAATTTTTTAGATTAATCAGAATTCATTTATATTAATTTGATTAAATCCACAACATGAATTATAGTATAATAATTTTATTTTTTAAAAAAATTATTTTTATCAAATTATATTATAAAAATTAAACACTTATAAAATTAAACATTAACTTAATATTGGAAGGTTTTTATGGAGCTCAGATAATTTTATAATAATAAATTTAAATAAATTATAAAATTTAATTTTTAATAATTATATTTTTATAGGATTAATAATACTATAAAAAAATGTATACTTAAAAAATCAAAATCAAATATTAATTAAATATCAATATATTTTTATAAAATTGTTATAATTCTATAAAAAATAAATTGAATTAAATTATAAATCCTATTTACAATAATTATGTGTTTTTATGGAATCATTTTTTATTTAACAATATAATAAATATTTTTTATTTAATAATATAATAAAAATCATCAAACTAAACTAAACACCAATATAATATAATAATATTTTTTCAAAATCATACAGCACTACATAAAAAAACAAAATAAATAAAAAATTCAAGTCCCAATAAAATAAAAAAGAAAACAGATATTAACCAGCAGCCAAAAACGTTTTGGCCTTTTCTTATTTTTTATTATTTTTTATAATGACGAGTATGAAAATTATAACCTATTTTAAATAAAAACAAGAAGGAGAGTAAAACAGTCAGAGAAAGTGGGACCCAGGTGCGGCGAAACATCCGGCTGAGAGATGATAGGCCAATCAAATAGAGCTTAGACCACAGAAACAGGTTTCTTTATGAGTCCATAAAATAAAAATCACACACACACACACACAGAGTGAATTGAATCTCTCGCTATCTCCTCCTACAATACACGGGAGATGTTCTTCCCTCCACCCTATTGACACCTACCCTCTAATTCGATCCCTTCGCTCCTTTAAAGAGGAGAGAGCTGAAGCGAGTTTTTGTCAAAATTATTAAGCAAAACTCTAACAGAGCCGGACGGATAAGCAAACAAAACAGAGGATCATCTTCTGGCCATGCGACTCTGCCTGTCTGCAAACTCCCTCTCGAGAGAGGATTCTTTGTTTTCTTTTTGTTTCTCAAGTCTCTGCTTTTTTCTTCTTTTTATAAGAAATGTCCACCACCGATTCTCATGCTCATGCCCCTACTAATCCCAAGCAATGTCTTCTCTGCAACGCCGGCGCTGGTGCTGCTGCAGGTTTTATACCTTTTATCTTTATTTTTTTCCTCCAGCTTAGATCAAATACTTGAAACATTGATGTTCTTCTTTTTATTATTATTCTTTAATTTGAGTGCAGGAGTTATTGCTGCTACATTTGTGTGTCCTTTAGATGTTATCAAGACCAGGTTCCAGGTCCATGGTCTGCCTAAGTACGATGTTGCTACTAGTAGTATTAAAGGTTGGATTTTTTTTTATTTAAAAAAATTAGCTTCTTTGCAGGTTCCGTTTAATTTGCTTATGAAATACAGAGAGTGTTTTTAATTTTGGTCAGGGAGTCTTATAGTTGGTAGTTTGGAACAAATATTTCGGAGGGAGGGGCTGCGCGGCATGTACCGGGGGCTTTCTCCAACTGTGCTAGCATTGCTTCCTAATTGGGCTGTAAGTTGTAGCATTACTTGCTCAATTTAGTTGCCTGCTCATTACTTATAAACATAAATTTCAAGAATAGTGAATTTTGTTTCTGACTTTTGCTTTGTACATTACAACATTTATTTATCGGTGTGAAACTAAAGCACTTGACTTGAATTTACATTTTAGTTTTTGCGGAGTGTGTGATAATGTTTGCAAGTGTAGTTCAGAGCTTGCTTATGAGAATCTGGGGACAAAAAACACCTATAAACTCTGTTATTATGCAATTAACTTTGTTTACCTTCTTGTATGATGCTTGAATTGTAGAAACATATTGAGCGAAAATGATGAAAGAAGAAATTAATCCACTCACAAGATTGAATAAACAATGATTAACTTGTCGTTCTCCTCAATCCATAAATCATTTGGTGAATTCAGTGCTATAGCACAATCTATTTTTAGTGCCGCCATGTGTTGGATCTTTTAGGCCCGTCATTAACTTGGTTCTGTATCCTCAGAATAAGTAATCACTAGTGAGAGCTGAGGCCGCAGGTTGAGTTTTTAATATAATGAAATGTAGTTGGTCAGATTTATAATCTTTGATTCTCATTTCTCATTTCCCCCAGCTTTTGAAGACTTCCTTTTTTTGCAGAGTATGCTTCTTTGAATTTTCTTCTGCTGAATGACCTAATTTTATAATTTTTGCAGGTTTATTTTACAATATATGAACAGTTCAAAAGCTTTCTTTGCTCCAATGGTTAGTGCTGATTTGCTACCTTTACGGGTGGCAAAGCAAAACTTGATTGTTGCTTTCTTTTTTCCGTGGCATAGTTTTTTCTTAAGTTACATTTTTTAGTGTTAATGAGCTTGTGATTTCGTTGTTTGTGTAGATGAAAGTCATCATCTTTCAATAGGTGCTAACATGATCGCTGCTTCTGGTGCTGGAGCAGCAACAACTATTTTCACAAATCCTCTTTGGGTTGTAAAGACAAGACTTCAAGTGCGTTTGTTTAGTTCATGTCTTATTTTGTCTGTAATTGTAAAAAATATACTAATTAACCTAGCACTCACCAATTGAAGCATCTAAAGAATATTTAGACCAGGTTTCCTTTTTTTACACCTTGTATCATTAGCATGATGCGTATAGCTCATTTGAGTCAAGCTTTTTGTTTGTTTCCATGATGAGCATGCCATGCCCACAGCCATGATGCACATTCGAGGATGGGCCAAGTGTGAGCTCACATGATGGAGAGGGGAGGACCTCCTCTCGAGTTCACATTTGTTATTATTTTCCGAGAGTAAGATATCCTACTTGTCCAGTCAGCAACAATGCATTTTCCTGTGTGAAACCAGGTAGCATTAGCTAGATTGATGTGCTTAGGAGTTCCTTTTCTTCTTGTTGTTAATTTAGTTGCTTGTGATTATTATTATATTTTTGCTTTATTTTATATGATATGTTTATGCAATGTGTACTTAAGTCATGACCTTGAAATTTGTGCATTGTACAAGGTAATGATAATTAAATCTTCTATACATATAAATGACTTGTTCTGGTGTGGAAAGTGGGAAAATAGGAGAACAAATAAATTGAACATAGAATCCTTTAGCAGGCCACTAGCTGGGAAGATGAGTGGATGCATGCGTATTTCAAGGAGCTGATGATGTCAGCATTCACAGTATTGTTTGCTTTTGCTCTGCAGACTCAAGGAATGAGAGCAGGTATCGTTCCATATAGGAGTACACTGTCTGCTTTGAGAAGAATAGCTCATGAGGAAGGCATGCGTGGGTTGTACAGGTATTGAATTCTACAAAGAATATCATTGGATTGTGTTAGATATTTATTTCTATAGTTTGAAGGTGAGATTTAATATCTTGTATCTTGTGTGGCAATTAGTGGTCTTATCCCTGCATTGGCTGGTGTTAGTCATGTTGCCATTCAATTTCCAACATATGAGAAGATCAAAATGTACTTGGCCGCCCGAGGTAATTTATAACCAGTTTGACTCTATTAGTAATTTCAAAGAGGAAAGAATTTTTTTCAAGTTAATCTCTTGTTCCAGGTAATACCACAATGGATAAACTAGGTGCACGTGATGTTGCTATTGCCTCATCAGTCTCCAAAATATTTGCTTCAACATTGACATATCCACATGAGGTATGTTCTTGAAAAATTAATCTGATTTCATTAGTTAATATATCCATGTTCACTAATCAGCATGAAAAATATAAAGGTCTTTGATGCTCAACTGCTTCCCGCCTTCTCTGAGGTTCAGGCAGCTCTATAATCTTTCGATGGTCTTCTTTTGGGGTTGTATGTGTTTTTAAAGTGCAAAAACTTGGATAATGAAACACTTCTTGCTTGTAATTGGAAGTTCCATGTCATTTTTTAGCAATCAGAATAAAATTTTAAACGTATTTTCGAAGCTGCCTATGATTGTAGAATTGTTATTGAGACTGTTTTGTTTATAGGCATTTTATAAAATTCAAACTTGTTATGTAATGAAGAGTGCAGTCACTTTTATCTTTAAAAATAAAAATCTTATGATGCTGTTTCTTACCCTCGGAAGCTTTTGTGGGTAGTAAGAATCACTTGGCATTCAAGTTTCAGTTTTATGAGCTTGTGACATAGTTGAAAAAGATACCTGAAGTAGGTAAATATGAGAATTGTGCTCGCTGAAAAAAAAAAAAAAAAACTTAAATGCCAATGCTTAAGGACTTCCCTTGGAAATCCTGTGAAGTGATGGGATACAGCTTTAAAAAATTCCCTTATTTCATTTCGCCACCAAAAAAGAAATGTTAAGAAAAAGCTATCTCAAACAACTCTATTGCCCATATAGAAATCACATCCTCTCCAGGCCATTAACTTTGTACCAACGTTCTTGGATCTCTATAAACCCATAGCTCCACGCACCAGCTCCTGTAAGCTTCTTACTTGCTTACTTTCTATGTGACACTAAATGCTTGACTAGGATTAGTAGCTAGTTGTCTTGGTTGACAGGAAACTCTTACAGATTAATTTATTCTCTCATGATTTTGCAGGTTGTGCGCTCAAGGCTTCAAGAACAAGGCTTCCACTCAGAAAAGCGTTACTCCGGCGTGGTTGATTGCATAAATAAAGTATTTCAACAAGAGGGTCTCCTTGGATTTTACCGTGGTTGTGCCACCAACCTTATTAGAACAACCCCCGCTGCTGTTATTACATTCACTAGCTTTGAGATGATTCACAGGTTTCTTGTCACCCTTTTCCTTCCTGATCCACAGCCTCACACATTGTGAAGATGGATCTTATTTGAGAATATTGCATGGATAGATATGGCTCGCATTGCCTTGAACTGCAACATGGAAGAGCAGATGAGGTCAGTCAGTGTCATGATGTCTTTGTGATAATCGTTGCTCTAGATTATATTTATGTATTCTTCATTGTCTCAGGTAGCTCTTAGAAAAACTGGATGCATTGATGCCCACATCCCTGATTGAAATTCTGCAACAAGAAGTTGTCAGATGGGGAGTGAATATCAATTTACACTGACAGTGATAATGATGAAAAAAACGAGATGCTGTGTGAAATTTTCATATCAGAACATTTTATGAATAATAATCAGAAATCATTTAACATCGTCTACTAAAGATTTTACACGCTGCATCCCCTTATTTGTAACCTGCGACCAAAAAACATGCTGCATAAAGATTTTTCGTTGTGTGTGCATGATAGCAACAAACCTTGAAACAACTTCCTGCATCATGCTGAAATATCAATAACAGTGATTGGTATTGTGAACTCGTGAGGAGCCCTTGGACTTTGCAATGACATGCCAATCTATTCAGTGACCACCAAGCAATCGAATGGTTGTGTGCCGGATGAAAATAGGCCATAATCAAGGCCACTCGAGGGCAGTAAACAAAAGCGATCCTGGATCGAGTCTTGTTTCTGATAAAAATATTTATTTTGGTATTCAGTAGCTTTGTGCATTTACTGCGAGAAACCCAGTAAGCTCTTTCCATCTTATGGTGTGTAGCATGTATTGAAATCCAATTATTGTATTTGATTTGAATTTAATTGATAAATAAATTGAATTTATATATTTGAAAGAGATAAAATTCAATCCATTAGGTTTCTTAGATTATCCTAATTACTTTCATTTTATTTCTTCAAAAGTTTTTCTAATTACTTTCATTTTATTTCTTCAAAAAAAAATTTAAAGAAAGAAGAAGTTACAAGGATATCTTGAGAAAAAGTTAGTTTTAATATTAAATTTTTTATTGTTTTTTAATTGTAAATTAGAAGGGTTTGACCTTTGATTTAATTTTATAGTATTTTTAAAATTTAATTCTAAACACTCGAAAGGGCTCTAAACATGATATTTCATATTAAAACCTCGTAAAGATTAACTAATGTGGCTGTGTGTTGCTCTAAGCCCTCTCACAAATCATTTTTTGTATTTTATTAATATCAATTAATTTTTTAAAGAAATAAAATCAAAATTCACAAATCATCGATTTTCCCACACTTTTCAATAAAAAAAAAAAGTACCTCAAACTCATCCTACCAACCTCCATAAAAACCGTTTCCACCTTCAAAATTCTATTACAAACCAGAGGTCATTAATTGAATGTGAAGTTTTGAAATGAATGCCTATTTCGGCTTCCATCTCCACTCTTCGGCCATGGGTAAGTATTTCGTACGTACTAGTCTATTCAACTCACTCATACGACCTCTTTGACTTTTTCTTACTATGATAATTTTCAAAAGAACCACTGTTGTTTCTTCTGTCTTTCCCTACTTCTCCTCAATTTCTTACTCTCTCCCATAAATAGAAGGAAAAGTTAAACAAAATATATGTTAGTTCGAGTGTGTTTAGCTTAGAGGTGTGGTGGCTTTTATCAAAAGTATAATATTTTTTAAGCATAAATCATACCTCTAAAAATTATAGAAGGAAAAGTTAAACAAAATATATGGTAGGAAGAGTGTGTTTGGCTTGGAGGTACGGTGATTTTTCATTAAAGATATAATATCTTTTAAATATAAATTGCATATTTGAAAGTTATAAAAATATCTTCTTTTTTTCAAAGAAAGTAGAAACTATTTCTTATTTAAACACCTTTAAAATGATCCTTACAAACATCAAATTAACAAGTGGAAAGATACTATAGACACGGATTTATGGACACTGTTCATTAGAACATTCATAATGATTTTGCACCTCTCACTAAATAGTATATTTTAGATTGCGATAATGCTTGTGGTTCAAAATGTTTTTTGTTTATAAATATATTATAATAATATTTTTTTATTTTTTAAAATATTTTTTAATATTATCATATCAAAACGATTTGGAAACATAAAAATAAAAAAAAATAACAATAAAAATTCAAAAATCCTTATATTAACAATTGGAGCCCTTTAGGTTTTTTTTTTTAAAAAAATTCAATGGTTACTACCAAATTAACCATGACAGGTAATCTTGTTTCATTTTAAATGTATAATAAAACAATTAAAATATCATTGAAAGAAAATAAATTTAACTAGCATTGAGGGTTAATTTTGTATTTTCACATTGTTTTTTTTAATTATCACTTCAGTTAAGGAAAAATTTGGTATTTGACCAAATATATATATAAAAAAGCATAGTAAAATGAGTAAAATGTTTGTAAAAAAATTAAAATTGTTGTTAAGGGGATTTTTTTCATTTTTTCATAATGATTTTTTCATTATTATCATATCAACTTAAGGGTAATTTGATATTTAACATAATATAAAGAATAAAAAAGATTGAAGCACATATAGCACATTTTCCGATATGCGGGAGGTGCTTGTGCCATTCAGGCGATGCATATAATGCCTCCCAACATCAAATGTTGCCCTTCACTATGTCATTAGAAGTCTAGTCATATTTCCTTCTTGATGATATAACGTATGTCGACATTGGTTATCTGGTTTACTATAATATATCTTGATTTTTCTTTTTAATTTCACCTTTTAATAGAAAAGATTATTACAATTTTTATCCTTATTTTTTTTTAATTTTTTTTGTCTTTTTGTTCAATTAATTCCTCCTTTCAACTTCACACTTCAATTATAAGTAAACTTTATCTTATTTTTCTATTTTGGTCCTTATTCTTTTAATTATTATTTTTTGTTTTGGATCCTGTCATGCAATTAATGTTTTTTTTCTAAGTTAATCTTTTAATATTTAATTGATTAAGAACTGGACTTTGTAATTTTTTCAGATAGAGTGTTTATGATTTAATGTTTCTAGTCCTAATTTAAAAAATAAATAAGTGATCACATCATTTTTTATTTTTTTGCTTATTTTCTTTTTAGTTTTGTGAATTTTTTTATTTTTTATTTTCTATTAGATTATCATGATCTTATTACTTGAGCCGCCAATATAGGGGTTTAACCTAAATTAACTTACCCACTATTTTTCAAGTTATAAGTTTGTCATACTAGCTCAAAATGATTTTAACTGGGTTTTTTTTTTTAATTTTTTTAGTCAATTTTAGCATTACGTGTTTAATAGGTTAAGAATTGAGATATGTTATTTGTATATTTTTACAAGAGTATTTTTTTCCTGGGTTATTGGTATTGTTTTTTTATATTTATTTTGGTTGTTTTGTTATTATTATCTATTTTTTTACCATCTAATTAAAAATAAAACTAACTTATTTTATATAGTTTGGTCTATAACTTGAGTGACATGTTTTTTTTTTCTTCTTAAAAAAGCATTTGTGCTTCTTGAAAATTATTTTTAACCCATAAAAAAAAACCATGCAGCGTCGCATGTGTAGATTTTAAAAGATCACTTAAAATGTTTAATAAAACTATGATGTTTCATGGCAAAACAATCCAAAATGCTTTCGTTTTGACCATAATAAACAATATATAAGAATGTCTAACCCACTATGATACTCGGTCGAGAGCAACAGTACAAGACTTTCTTTTGTTATTGTTATGTTGATTGTTAGTGAAAAATGTAGGCCTGCCTCTGTAAATGGGCAAAATCTTGACTGCGAGGGCTACTATCATCCAGAGGCTTAAGTTGTGAAACCCAACACACAATTTGGATATATGTGTGAGCTGCAAAAGGATCCGTTGTTAGCGGGCTTTACACTAATTAACAGAGACCAAGCTGGGTCTGGGAATTAGGTTCCATTGCACTCTTGAATTTTCTTTGAGCAAGCCTTGCAGGCACGGATTCTTCCCAGTTTACCAGTCGCAGGGCCATTAACGAAGCAGGGTAATAGTGCTGGTTGCTGGAAGAGCCAAAGAAACCTTTAGCTTTGGTATTGTATGCTGCCTGAATCAAGGGATCCCTGTATATTTTCTCAGTACAAAGAAAGAAAGAAGGGAATAGTGCCCACAATTTGACAACTCATTATCTGAAAAGGGGAATCCTATGAGCCTCATCTCCTCATTGGAAAATTAAAGCAACAGAGTTAGAGCCCGGAGATCAAGTCGGTTAATCAAGAAATCCTTTTTTGACATTCTACGTGCAAGGGAACTCTCTTGTTTTTCCCATTTTGTTGGAAAACTGAGTTTAAGTTATTGATCGAAGCAGGAAAGCTGAGCCATTAAATGTGATCAAAAGCTGGTCAAGACACTTTTGACAAATGAGGCGGCTCAGCTCAAAAAAAGACATTCCATGAAGCAGACACGTAGAAGAATGGGCAGAAGCCTTAATTTCACCTTGGAATTCTCTGTGGGTGGGTGGCCAGTCTTTGATATTGCAAAGAACTGCCCTCTCATCACTCATCATAGTTTGGTCGGTTCAAAAGTATAGAGCCCTGAAAAAAGAAACAGAGAATAAGGAGTGCAATGGTTTCATGATTCATTGGGAATGCTGGTTGGCCCACCCATAATTATAAAACAAGAAAAAAGGAGGAACAGTCTATGATGCTCCTCCTGTGCTCTTCCTTTCTTAATACCTTCCACTTTCGTTGTATTTGATTAGGGCTAACCCCCAAAGTTTAAACAAGAAGCACTCTGTTGCAGACTCCTTAACAAACTGCCATTTCTTGGGTGTAAAGGCTTGTTTTGTATATGTATATAATCTTATTACATGACATTCGCTCAGTAGTTTTTAACTGTGTTTTGTTGTTAGATTTCGCTGGTGCTTGCTTTCCAGATGGACCTGCGATAAATATTTTCTTTTTTTGACCATCTGGCCAGCAAAGAATAATAATTGTAATGATTGCTAGGTGCCTTTAACTTTGCCATGACATGGCTACTGTTTGTTCTTTTTACCGTGCTCATTCCCTCCACGGAAAGCCGAAAGTTACCCTTGAAAAGCCACTGTTTCTGTTTAGTGCACCCAGGTGGGAGTTATTTAGTCTTCCATACTAGGCCCCTGTTTCTCCTGTGGAGGCTGGAGCCGCCCTGAAAAAAAAAATGTTACGAGGATGCCAAAGTATTCTTAAAAAATCCCTTTGGCCAAACTAAAAAAAAAAAGGGGGGGCACCAAATGGTAGGCAATTGAGGTTGGTGGGTCTTCTTTCTATTATATATCTTGCTTGTATATTGCTCAAATTGGATAAACCTTTGTGATTTGATTAGTTACACAGCATTCAGTATGCATATAATCATACATTTGGCCAAATCCGGTTTCTTAACTGTTATAAAAA